TAGAGGAAGAAAATATATAAAAAGAAAGTATATAAAGGTGAAGAAAAAGAAGATAGAAAAAGAAAAAGCTGGGTCAACAATCATAAGGATTCGAACCTTACACCTTGAAACTTCGCCATCTGCTTTACCGGCTGGGCAGAGGAAGAAGAAATCTGGGTCGACCTCAGTTCGTGAGGATTCAAACCTCACTGAATTCAACATCTCTACAAAATGTTTTTACAGCTGAGTGAAAGGACGAACTTTTGAGTTAACTTACGTGAGGATTCAAACCTCAGACTTTGCAAGATCGGTATCAAATGCTCTGCCAGCTGAGCTGAGAGAAAACTGTGGGTCGACCTTTGTATGAAATTACATGTTAACAGTGCGAAATTATAATTTCTGGTCGACATCTGTGAGGATTTTAACCTCAGATTTACCGATTATGCTCTCAGATACTCAACCTGCTTAATTATACAAAACTAATTCAGTGATTGTTCTTAGCTCACACTGATATAAGCACTGTATTTTGTCTGTTATTCGAGTGTGTGATCAACAGGTTATACAGAAGCAGTCATTGTTTGGCTGGAATCAACTGCCTGATCAATTGAAGTCAGAGATCTACTGGAACCAAGCCACAGGGTCTTACACGTAATGAGAGTTGATCAGCTGTTCAGGTATGAGATCAGAGATATCGAAAATTTATGTAGTATTACTGAGCTTTTTTAAGTCATTAAATGCGTTATCTTTAAGTAAATATATAAAGCGTGACTGAAATTATGAATTCAACGTGGTGGAGAACTGCAAGTATATTGTAGCCACAATCATGAAATGCATAACCAAATAACTAATATAAAATAAAATTTTCTGTTTCATTACAGCTGGTCTAAGTATCTCAAAAGTAAACTGAGGAAAAAGATCTAAACTTCAAAGAAAAGTTGGCACACCATTCAAACCTTGTCTGACGATTGCAAACTTCTTCGAACTTCTTGAAGCTAGGTGAAGGTGTTGGGAAGTTGTTTCCTCCAGTATTAGGTGGTTATCAACAGTGAACCAGGTTAAAAGTTACGGTGTTGGGGCATCGAGTGTTTGTCAACAAGGAAGCAGTTTAAAAGTTTTGATGTCAATGCATCATGTGTTTGTCATTAAGGAAGCAGTATAAAAGTTGTGTTGTCAATGCATCATGTGTTTGTCGACGAGGAAGCAGTTTAGGAGTTATGGTTCAATGCATCACGCATTCGTCAGCAAGGAAGCAGTTTAAGAGTTGAAGTGTCAATGCATCATGCGTTCGTTGACAAGGAAGTAGTTTGAGAGTTGTGGTGTCAATGCATCATGTGTTCGTTAACAAGGAAGCAGTTAAAGAGTTTTGATGCCATTGCATCATGTGTTCGTCGACAAGGGAGCAGTTTAAGAGTTGTGGTGTCGATGTATCATGTGTTTTTTGACAGGGGAGCAGTTTAAAAGCTGTGGTGTCAATTTATCATGTGTTGGGCAACAAGGAAGCAGTTTAAAAGTTATTGTGTCAATGCATCATGTTTTTGGCAACAAGGCAACAGTTTCAAAGTTGTGGTGTCAATGCTTCAAGTATTTGTCGACAGTAAAGCAGTTTAAAAGTTGTGGTGTCGATGCATCACGTGTTTTTCTGTTTTTCGACAGGGAAGCATTTTAAAAGCCGTGGTGTCAATGCATCATGTGTTTGACAACAAGGAAGCAGTTTAAAAGTTTTGGTGTCAATGCATCATGTGTTTGTCGACAGGGAAGCAGTTTAAAAGTTGTGGTGTCAATGCATCATGTTTTCGTCCACAGGGAAGCAGTTTAAAAGTTGTGGTGTCAATGCATCATGTTTTTTCGACAGGGAAGCAGTTTAAAAGTTGTGGTGTCAATGCATCATGTATTTTCGACAGGGAAGTATTTAAAAAGTTGTGGTGTCAATGCATCATGTTTTTGTTAACAAGAAAGCAGTTTAAAAGTTATGGTGTTAATGCATCATGTGTTTTACGACAGGGAAGCATTTTAAAAGCTGTGGTGTCAATGTATCATATGTTTGGCAACAGGGAAGCATTTTAAAAGTTGTGTTATCAATACATCATGATTTTGGCAACAAGGAAGCAGTTTTAAAATTTGTGGTGTCAATGCTTTAAGTATTTGTTGACAAGGAAGCAGTTTAAGAGTTGTGGTGTCAATGCATCATGTGTTTTACAACAGGGAAGCATTTTAAAAGCTTTAGTGTCAATACATCATATGTTTGGCAACAAGGAAGCATTTTTAAAGTTGTGTTGTCGATGCATCATGTTTTTGGCAACAAGGAAGCAGTTTAAATGTTGTGGTGTCAATGCTTTAAGTGTTGGTCGACAAGGAAACAGTTCAAGAATTTTGGTGTCAATGCACCATGTGTTTGTCGATAGGGAAGCATTTTGAAGGCTGTGATGTCAATGCATTGTGTTTTCGGCAACAAGGAAGCAGTTTAAAAGTTGTAGTGTAAACGGATCGCGTGTTTGGCAACAAGGAAGCAGTTTAAAATTTCTGGTGTCTATTCATCTTGCTGTTATCAGCAAATAAGCAGTTTAATCGTTGCAGTGTCTGTGTATGATCTGATCATCAAGAAGGAAGCAGTCTCTAAAGCCTCAGTGTTTTAATATGTATTATTTACATAGTAAAATTGTAAGTAATAAAATATGTAAATTTGCCTAGAAAAATAAAAGAAAAATAAATCAATCTTAAAATTATAAATAAAAAAGTAGTAAATAAATCAAACATGCAAAAAAACATAAAATCTCAACCTTGATCCACCCCCTGTAATACTTCCCATGAGTACCTGCCTCTTATAAATTTACTCTATTGACTTTATTTTGAGATAAATAGATGCTTCGACGGAATAATGAAAAAATTTATTATTGGTTTGTTTTATCAGCTCACAAATCGATACCGCAACAGTAATTCTGATCTCTTGTTTTAAAATTTATATATCAGTCATTCTCTTTCGGTGTTCGGAGTTTTATTTTCGATTATCAGCGTTTCATTTCTCCGAATTTCAGCTTCGGACTCTTACATTGTTCTCCGACATTCGATTTCGGAGTCCCGACCATTAATATATATAATTTTCTGACTTCCGGCTTCATAATTTCGACTTCAACTTATCTGCATCGTAATCTCTGACTGAGAACTTTCGAATTCCGTATTTTTGCTACATGTAGACAATCGACTCTAATGCTCGATCTTTTTTTTCCGATTTCGACTCTGAAGTGCCATTTTTAACGTCCGCTAAGTTCGAATGTCTAACTTTCTTATTATAGTTTATTGAGTCAGGAATATAAAATCAAAACATGAGGGCATTCCAGTCATTAAATAAGAGAGAACAGCACCAAGATTTGACTCGGGTTTCAACCTTAAACTAATAGTTACTAAAACTTCTAATTTCTCCTCACAGCACCAAGCCTGAATTACAAATTTAAGGCAATAGAATAAAAGAAATGATCTACAAGTTAAAGAGCTATATTGAAATATTTTGTTAGTCAGTACCATATGGGATGCACTGCGAACACTATATAGAATATGCAGTGATGTTGGGATGTCAAGAGTTAAATAAATAAGCCAACAGTTCGTAAACAGCATAGGAAAAACAGAGTTTTGAGGGTTTTTTTCCTTTCTTTTTTTTAAAGAATAATAAAATAACACTATGTTAGCGTATCGAGTGGTTGGTTGTTCGTCCTAAAAAGCATAGTATTAGGATATGTATCTCGCACCACCAGATCTCTCCTACCGATCAATATGTTGCAACGGAAGCAACCAAACATTGACACACTAGGAATTGACAAACAATTGTTAGCTAAACTGCCCAGTGCAATTGTTTGTCCTTCATAAAGGCCTCGTCGCTATAATCTTTGGGGGCTGGAAAGTTCGGCAGGAAAAGTTTAACCATTTAGAGGTTAAAAATTATTTTGTGTAACCCTCACTTACAAATCACACGCCGTCAAAAAAGCTTAACTTGTGCGTTTGTTTTGGAAGGGCTAGTTTTGAGATTAGACTTGTGCAAAGCATTTGCATAAATCAGATTGATCGATATTCTTGCTTCCGCCTCGTGTTTGCTCTTTTGTCGAAGGTTGAAAAGATCAGAAGCTGTATTTTCTTTTGCTTCTACTACCATTTCAAAAGTCCGTTTCTTTGCTTTCAAGGGAAAACGATCAATGAAATAATCTAAGATACAATTTTCACAGCAGTTGCTGTGACATTGAAAATTACTTCACCATGGCCTCTCGCCCGTGCGTAGAAGAATCAAGTGAATGTGGATGAAAGAGAAAACTTTGATACTTAGTATTGAAGAAAAAAACTAAATTTTCCTAAAGCAACCCTTGAACGTGTGGCAACAAAAGCCAAAACATAACTTGGCAGCTTCAATACTCAATCGGAACATCGAGCGCTCGCTTGGCGGAAAATACGCCTGCCACTCGGGCTAATACGCTTTACAGGCTGAGATAGAAGTTATTTGGTTTCTGGAGCACACATCTATAGATAAAGAAATTCAAGAACCTTTTGAAGTGAAACATAGGCCAATTTTATTTGCCAGATTTTTTGCTGAGTTTTAATGCGTTTAAAGTCAAGTGAACTATTTCAATAATATATACACGCGGCACATCACTCGTCTCACAACTAACGTATATATTTAAGTTTCCTGTTGGACGTAGATGACAAAAACATGTGAGTTGTTGTGAACGATTTCATTGTTAATGCAAGTCCACGTTATGTTAGAATTCATAAGCAAATACAAACCAAGCCTGTCGCCCCCGTATTAATTTGTTATTTTAATTCTTTAACTCCAATATCAGGACTTCTGATATTCCCTTTAAAACGTTTAATTTCGTTGAAAGTAGCTTGGAGATTTGATGTTAAACCAGGACGCCCTTCGTATTAATATATTTGTCTATTATCAGTACCATTTGGTTGGATAATGCATTGACACTGTACGAAGGAGTTACGTAAACACTATATAACGATTACCTCTTACAGTTAGAAAAACGAGAACTGAATCACAGATTACGAAGAGGTGAGTCGCCCTGGTTTGAACTGTTCGAATTTCGGAAAAATACGATCTTCATAATACCTTGTCTTAATTCTGGCAGTCGCATGGCGTAGATTATAGGATTTATCAGCGAGTTGGCGAGGTATAACACCAATACACCGCTGAACATGTGAAAGGCTAGTCGTTGGTTGAGCTTTTTAAGTAACTGGGGATTAAAACTGTTTAGGCTTCGCCCAATTATCAATGGAAACCAAGTCAGTATGGAGGCAAGAGTCACCATAAATAATGTACTCGTTAATTTCCTTTCCCTCACACTTGCTGCGCCCTGATTTGCCGAACGATGACCAAAACGGACTTTGTTAAAAATCGAGATGTAAGAAACAGAAATTACAAAAAGAAGAACAGAAAAAAACGAAAAATACATTGTGTGGCGGCCTTTAATGCCTATATCTTTTCCCACCAGTGCAGCAGTCGCAGACATCAACCAAGTTACAGTAACTATAACTCCATAGACCCATTTCTTAACGGCATGATACTTGAAAGGAAAAAACGTTGCATGTGCCCGCTCTAATGAAATAACAGCGAGATTCAAAAGCGATAAATAAGGGAGAGACTGCCCCAATGCTATCGTTAGATAAGAGTACTTCTCAGACCAGACTGCCCTCTCCCACAGGTTACAGGTAGCCCCAACCCGTTGAATAAACGTAGGACCTGCCACTGCCCCTACTAGGAGATCGACGATCGCCAGGTGGATGATCAGGCATGTACCCCTGCGCTGCAGGTGGTGCTTCTTCAAGAGTACAGCAGTACTAACGGTATTTAGGATGACTATAGCCAAGCATTCCGTGATGAGCAGGACGAGCCACGGAATACACTCGGATGGGAGATACGACATCCATTTCTCGTCGCTTGTGTTATTACGAGTACTTTCTACGGTGCTGTTAGCCATTGTGTTCTTGTCTGTGTTGGTAACCCACTGCATGAACTGGATAAGGGAGGAGGACAAAAATAAATAATTAAGAAAGAGAGTTACTTATTCAAGTGTTGTGAGTTGAACAAAATAATTTGAAATGTTTCTGTGTCATATTACGTACCTTTAGGTAACAGAATATCCAACTGGTTGGACAGAATCAAACAATTCAGCTAACAAAGTATAGCGGAAAAAGCTAAATGACAGTCGGTCAACCTGCCAATAATGGCTCAATTCGTTAAGTGTATTGAAATTATAAGATCGCACAAAGCCAAGTCAACTCGTCGTTAACACAATTTCTTCTTACCTCTCTCGGGAGAGCATGAAAATCAGCTCTCAGTATTTAAATTCCTTTATATACAAAAGCAACCCGATCATAATGTATGCTTGAGAAAAGACACGACACTTTGTTGACGCAGACGGTCAAGACGGCTGAATATCCTTTCAGGTCTTATAATAACAACTCTCAAGAGGTCAGAAATCTAACCACAATCCACAAGTAGTTACAAGAAGTCATCCGCCAAATGTTGGTTTATCAACCGGCCGGTGCTGTTTCCTGTGTGTGCAAGATCTTATCATCATTGGACAATTTCGCTTGCATTAAGAGGCCTCCGTCTTTTCCCAAATTCACCTTCAATAATTTGTTAATTTCATTTGTTTGCAGGAATAGAAATGTGATAGACTTAACTTCCAATGCTTAACTTTCAAACGATGCTCCCATGCAAATCAAGGTCATTACTCTGACATGTAAGTTTAAGAAAATGCAGGTACGTGAAGACACAGGGCGAATATAAGGCATGATATATTAATTTCAGCTCTTTATATCGCCATTATTATTTCTAGATACAACATATCAGGGAAAGTGACACAAGGGTGTCATCAAAAGCTATTATCGATAAATATACAATTGGTTAATACTCGTTGAGTAATCAAGTAGTGACCGATTACGAAATATTTTTTCAATGCATTCAATCCTCTTTGAAATCCCCTTCTTTTACAAAAAAGCAGAAGAACAGATAGTTAGGTGAGTTGGAATCTTTATCCATTTAACAATAAAGAATCCCCCAATATGAAATTTGACTACAAATTTTTGTGTTGCACTTTGGACATAAATATCAGTTATGTAACTCAAAGATTTATTTTCATCTCCAAATTTCATCCCAGACGTGACTTATCCAAGGTCGGTAACATCAGTGGGTTAAACTTAAGGATAATGTATGAGAGTCAATATTAAGAAAAATATGAACAGATTTTTGTCCGCGGAGATTAATTATCATTTGTTCCGAGAAGTAAACTGTCCTCCAAGAGCGAAGCTCGAGCAAAAAGTGTAAGCTTCGAGGAACATATCATTCTCAAGGAAAAGTACACGAGTATAGGAAAGTTTTGCGCCAACTGGAGGTTATTGTGCTTATTATCCTTTCAATATTTTGCACGGGCGTGAAAAAATTTTTACGAACAGTTTATCGGCATTTGCTGCGTGAGATGTTTCAGTGTTTTCTGTTACGTCTTAATGAACGAAAATAGATGTCTTATCTTCTGTAACAACCAAAAGACGCCCTCTCATCTTGAATTAAGTCTTAAACGAGGACCTATGGTAGTGGATGTAAGGTTTGAAAATTGGGAGATGACACTTAATCAGGGTATATATCTTCGGATATTCGCCAGCTTATTTATTTATTTTCTTTTTAGTTTCAGAACAAGATGCGTAGAAAAATTTTATTATTTAATGTTTTCATTCGAAGCCGTAACATATTTTTTTCTCATATTTCTGTAGTTTGTTAGTTTATGTCAACACATTCATAGCATGGTTGACGTATTCACCAAAATGTCATATTTCGACTCAGTTTGCCTGATGTTACTGAGTTCCCCTTTCATAGTCCATTTCCATGCATAACTATCCCAAATAAGCGAAAAAAGGCGAACACAGAAACTGTGGGCCTCGGCTTCGTTGTTTAAAGTCCATGCTAGGAACTCTGCCTACGTTAAGCTTCTAGGAAGACTGCACGCTCAAAATGTGTCGATTTTTGGTTTGCTCAGTCAGATCAAAGTCTCAGCAATCAATGCATAGTAACGACGGACTAAAACTGACGAAAGCAATTTAACGGCATCCAGTTTTTTCTAGCACTCAATCTTATCAAATTATATGTTACTTGAATTCTGGCAGTTTTGGCAAACAAAGGTCAACTAACTAGTTTTTTTACCCTGTGATAATCCTTTCTACAACTCGCTTTACTGGAATGTCGCGTCGTGATTTGGAAATATTTACGAGCGTATTTCCTACAGGACTTTTATGAACTGGCAGTTGGGATATATCCTAATTGTCCTTGCAAAATAAAAGAAATCGCAAGAATAGATATTCAGGAAAGACCTTTTTCAATTTTTACCCCATTCTGACGAGAAATCGCTGAGTTGGCAGATCGTGATAGATTAAATCTGATTCCACGGAATTTCTTCGAAAAGGTTACTCGCGGCTAAATTGCATACTGTGTGGGGTTGTACTCGAGACGTTTTTGGTGAGTTTTCTAGTGTAAGGGTTATAAAATGGTAACCGAAACAGAGCTAACGTAATGGTATATCGCTCGGCTTTGAACAGTTTGAAGTTCGGCGGAAGTTGATTTCCATGACATTTCGCCTTGTTCTGGTACCTGCATGGCATAGATAATAGGATTTATGAGCGAGGTGACCACGAATAATACTACTGCTGTTCTTCCAATACGTAATGATAGCCGCCAAATAATATCGTTGGCGAACTAGGGATGAAACATGAAAACACCTAGTTGTATCGTCAATGGAAAATAAGCAGTTAAAGATCCAATTATCACAGTAAATAACGTAATCGTCAATTTTTTTTCCCTCGCACCTGCTGCGCTATTGGAATGCATATGACGATTAGAGCGGACTGTGATAAAAACGGAAATGTAAGAAACAATAGTCATAAAAAATAGAATGAAAAACGAAGAAAAAAAGCATAATATAGTGGACAATGATAGTGACCGGGAAACATCGACTTCCTGCTAACCCGGCTAATTTAATAAACCAAATGAAATGATTATAACTCCATAAACCTATTTCTTAATGAGGCATTGCTTGAATGAACAAATTGTGGTATGTGCCCTTTCAAGTGAAATTGCAGTGAGGTTTAAAAGCGAAGCATTAGGGAAGACAGCCCTTAACACCACTGATGGTAGATGGATTTTCTGACTGTATTCCCACAAATCACAGACACTCCCTACCCAAAGAATATCCAAAGGGCCTGAAACTGCCCCAGCCAAGAGGTCAATTATCGCCAGATGGATAACCAAATGTGTACTCCGACGCTGAAGCTGGCGCTGTTTCACAAATTCAATAACGGCGATCAAATTAAGGAAGTTTATGGCTAGATATTCAGTGATGAACGCGACGAGCTAAGGGATATATTGTGATTCTGAAGGTATTAGCTCCTTCCTCGTGTTTGTCCCGATACTATTGACAGTGTCGCCAGCCATTGGGGTCTCGTCCGCCATTGTGCTGGACGAGATGTCTTGGATATCTTTTGCAATAAAATCGTGATCTTAAACAAAACGTTTTGAGGTTTTTCTTCAGGATATTATCCTCACCATAGCTTTTCTCTTAGTTTTTACAAGACATTGAGCAAGACCAAACAGAAAACGTATTTTAAAAGTCAATTTACTCAACTGTTAATGGCGGCAACAGGATTTCAATCCGACCAGAATCGGTTTAATCGCTGAAGTACGAAGGTCATGTTGTTTAGTGCACACCCAACTAATGACTTAATTCTTTTATTTGAGTGGTTACTTCCAGTCTACTTCAAACATCTTAATATGGAAAACCCAAATTAATATACAGCACGCCGATAAAATAGCTTAAGAAGTTTATGACGTAAGTATTTAAAAGATCGAAGTCACGAGGTAAGAGGCTCAATATTCTCAGAAAAAGCCGCAAGGAGTACTTTTGAGTTACAAAGTGTCGGTAATTCCCGGATCTTGCTCGATATTTACGCTCTGCTGATGCGCCACAAAGTCCGGCAGTGATTGAAGCGAGCTCTAAATGTAACTGATTAGCCTTCCCTTTTCCGAGCAAGTCTTGCCTACCTTTCTAAAAATTCTTACATAACAGACGTCTTGCTTACATTTCTTTACAATATAGGCAGCAACAAAGGTCGGGCATAAATGACGCGCGTCTAGATTATACATTTGTTTTTTATCAACACAATTATCCTCATATCGAGTCACTCGCGTTAACATTGAGTAACATAAGTTCGTTACGTCACCAAAGCCACGCGACGTTTTGTGTCAGTGAACTCTACCATGCAGGCGAAGGTGAACAGTGGAAATCCGCAGACGTACGCAGTTGTTTTCCTGCTCCGTAGATGCGACGTTATTTTCTTTCATTACATAATTTGCGGCGGAAAATCCCTAATTAATAACACACGTGTAAAAATACGATATTTTTCAAGTGTGTTTGACATCGCCAATCAGCTGTTGAAACGTCACATATTTCTTTCCGCTCTGTCAGGTTGATGAATGTATGGTCAAGCCTTTACCATTCTTAAAACAAGGTCGTTTGCGATACGTACATCTAGAGTTTTAGCGAGTACTACGTGGGCGCGGGTAGATATGGAATTTCTCTTCTCGTGTTCAATTCGGAGGACAAATATCGAAGTACACGGGGGTTATGCAAAATGACTGTCCTGTGATTTTGCACCACGTGACACAAAGTGACCAATATCATTTCGCAAATATTAATGGATGAATTATAAAATTCGTTTAGTTACTTTAAAGGAAATGTCTAGCCTTGTCTATCCTCCTTTCTCGTTCAACGTTTAAAATCAAAGCGTAACATTGAACGGGGGAAGAAGAAGGGACAGTAAATATTTCAGGAATAAATTTATTTTAAGTTGTTCCAGAATATTGCGAATTCAGAGAGTTATGGAATATATATCAATTTCGGTTAAGTTATTCACGGATAGCCTCTGGAACGAAAGTCTGTTTCCCAAAACGACCACATGAAGGCTTACATCTATGTAATATTTTGGGTCAAAGTAAATGGCAAATAAAGATTTACATGCATTTTTAGGTGCGTAAAGATGACGAAGTAGTTGAACTGCATTTACTTTTCCGCAGCTCTGAGTAAACAGACTTCTTTTTCCAACTCGAACATACAACTAAGATTGGTGAAATCGACAAATCCCAGAAAACGCACCTATTGTTTTTTCTTTCTCCCAATTGGTTTCGTTTTATTCTACTGGAATAATTCCACTTTTACGCTTTATCAAAATGATCTCTAATGCAATCCAAATCTGCTTTAATACCTTGAAATGCCATTACCTAGACAGCATGGAGAGGGGAAAAACATGGCATTTATGTAAACTAACATCCACCCACGAAGCAGGTAGTACACAGTCTAGTAGGGTAATAATCTTCGTTGGAAGTTATGGAACTTCCCAGAAACTGAAAAGTTATTTGTTTATATGACAATGGAAAAAAATGATAAGAGTAGATAATGGAGAGAAAAGTTTTGAGGTTTCATCTTCATTTTTAGGTAATTAGTTTTTCGTCAACACGTCCGCGTTCGTGACTAGAATAAATTGCTAAGCTTTGAACTGGTGTGTTTAATTATCAATTAACAAAGGCATCATGAGAATTTTTCCGAGTTCATTTGCAAGATAACTGGTTTCCTTAGGAAAAAAAAAATTAGTTCGCTAAAATTAATTTTTCTAGCTTAGAAAAAGCAGCCTGTGTTACAAATATGTGTAAGTTTATGGGTAAATCGTCTTTAAACTAGAAAGAATTTATTTTTTAACTTCGTTCTACCCAGCAAGGCCATCGATAAAGTGAAGTCTTTCACTCACCGAAATGTCATCTATTATATCTATTTGAACAACGTCTCAAATAAAAATGGTCACGTTTCCATAAGTTATTTAACAACATTGCATGGTCGAAAAGTTCCGCTGAACCTGCGCTATATTTTTTTTTTGTCAAGAGCGTCTTCTCTCAGTTTTAAGTCGAGATTGTATGGAAAGAACTATGCGGTCAGAAATCAAAATTTGAAGCCATCACCAAGAAGGTAAGGTATGCTAATAAATCCTAAGCTTCTTCTTTAAAGTTACATATATGTATTTTACTGGGCGAGAGGTCCGTTTGTAAAGATAATACGAAAACAGCGCCCGCACTCGATACCTCGAGTTCAAATCGAACCGCGCCGTCTACGAAACTTTTGTAATTCCGCACACGTTTACAACGAAACAGTTAAGCGATACTAAATAAACACTTAGGTTTCCGTTAAAGAAATCTTTTTCTTTTTCTAGTAACTTGATATCAGTTGCAATTCGCTCCTAAGTTCATTACTAACAAATTTAGCTATCAACGGAAAATTAGTTTCTGAAAGAATTTTGTGAATGGGTTACACTTTGATTACATTTTGAATGCCGTCTAAAAAATTGTTCAAAAAGTTGCAAATCATGGCGACCATTGTACTCATTTTACGATGCACGTTGCTTTCATTCATTCTATTCAACGATATATTTTATTAGAGTAAATCATGTGCAAAGTTTGAGCTTATAGAACAAAAACACTCCGGGTAAAAGTTTGGATCAGTCTACCCTAAATGGTAAAGCAGTCATGAACGAAGCTCAGAAAATTCGAAGAACGAAATCCTCAATACACTCTTTCAAATCGAGAAACGACAAAGCAATAGCTAAAACGTCAGAAGGCACGAAGTGTAACCACCCGAACCACTTGAGTTACCCCAAAAAACATAAAACTGAGTGAATTTGCGACGGTTACTGGATATGAGGAATAATATTTAAAGCGCTGGGAAACATGATTTGTCACCTCAAACGAGGAAACTCGCCGACCAGTGTCGTGAATCGAATAACTTAATTACCAAAAATGCTGCCAAAACTTTGATTAATTATGTAAAATAGGTAGAGTGACTATTTCAATAAAACCGTGTTGCTATATCATTCCATAATACAATTAAATGGAAATTAACGCAGGTGAAATATAGGTTTAGGCCTGAATGACATGATTCATTATTAATAAGATGGAGGAGTATTAACAAGTAATCTTATTTATTTCTCGTTTATAGAGAGAAAACGTCCTGCTGCCATGGATTTCAACACCTGGAACATGTTCTGGAGAATATGTTTTGGATTTTTAGCTTCTTTTATCGCTGCTGGAAATATTCTCATTATCTGCATATTTTTTAAGCTGAGACGCCGAAAGCGTTCCTCGTTTCTTCTGATAGGTTTGGGCGTGGCTGATTTACTGGTTGGAGGACTGGCCATTCCTCTTTTCATAGCAGGATATGAAACCTCCTCATTAACAACAGTGTTCGTGTTCGAACGTGTTGACATTAACACACTTGCTGTTATTTCCTTGGAGAGAATGTTCGCAATAGGTTGGCCACTTAGTCATAGAACTCTAAACTTTCGTGTTTACATCTGTGCCATCGCCATACCGTGGATAATAGCAGTAATATTCACTATTCTCATGTATGCAAGCTCAATCCTCGACAGCGACAGTGTAATCTGCCTTCTCGTTTTGTTTCCCACTACACTTCTATTGGTTATGAGTGTAGCGTATTATGTCATTTGGTAGAAACAGAAATCACGCATGGTTAACCACAATCATGTCATTAGAGAAGTAAAACTAGGAAACACATTATTTATAATAACAGGAGCTTCTCTTTTAACATGGCTTCCATTTCAGATTCTAAATCTTTCGGCATCTTTGCATATGAATGCAAATATTCCTCATATGCAACTTATGACACTAATCGTCAAGGCTTTACAATATAGCAATTCGTTCGTAAACGTAATTATTTATCCACTAAGAATCCCCGAGTTTAAAAACTGCCTGCTTCACTTACTTCGTTGTTGTGTAGTTCCCTCTCAGGTTTTTAACTCTGGGTTATCTCCATTAATTGAGTCTGGGTCAGTTGTGTCCTTAGTAAGATTTACAAGTACGCAGCTCTTATCACCGATCTCTAGGCAGGAAAGTGCGGTTTGATGGCTTTATTGTTGAAATTCATCACTCAACAATTTTTACTGCCTCTAAGTGACAGAATTGAGGGGAAATCATGCTTGTGATATAAATCAGACTTCTGTTGAACGATTGGACATTTTGCTGAAACTTCCCAGGGTACACCGTGAATCCTTATCATCTTTCCGTTTGAGTATAAAATTTAGATTATTTAAAGGATCTCAAACTAGTTCAAGATTATGCCTCAAAGCCGAGGTAAATCAGGAGTCCGAAAATGGCGAATTCAGAGTCCTTCACATCAGCTGAGATGAATGATCATGAGGCTGAAGGTCACTCTTTCATGCTAATTCGAGCTCACAAAGTCAATATGATACACCAGGGGATGAATATAATAAGAAAAGTGAAATATTTTATGCCCTTGTTGATCATTAGATTCAAGCAACGTATATAATTCGTTAGCTCGGTGACATTTTTCACACATAAAAAAAGTTGCACTTTGGTTGTCTTGTGATTTAAAATATTATCAGACAGGAAAATTGTATTAATTATTATTAAATACAACTAATTAAACCAAAGTTAAGCATCTTTTAATTTGCCGCTTTCTTCTCGTTTATCAATTAGTTTCACGTGGGTTACCAAAGAGAAACTTCACTTAGTCATCTTGTTTCTCTTCGACGCCTATCATACTTGATTTGAAATAAAGTTATACAATGTACAAAACTAAGAGTAAGAGAGAGACATTCAGTACTACAAATGTTCAGGAGCCATTCCCTACAATGTTCCATTGCACACTTGTATATTATATAAGTGCTTGATGTAAATTGTTAAAGACTGTTGAACGCGGCCAAGTTGCCTCGTGTTGTAAATAACTCTTTGATCTGAGGTAATAAATATTGGATGAAAAAGTTTGCCGTAATTCCCGCCTCACTTACCTCATATTTCACTTAACTACAATAAGAAAAGATGGCCAACCGAAGTTTCTGCTATCTGTAAAAAGCAGTCTGTAAAGCGGTAATTAAAACCAGGTGAACATAAAGAGACCCGTAATCACTTCCTCTCTCCCAAAACAAGCTTCTCCTGACATCCACTGGTATGAGTTAGAGACTAAAAAGAAGAGTTTTTAAGGAATTAACTGCTCACGAGGTGTTTTCATTGATTTAAATTTACCATGTTAGCTGTTGGCTAATCTTGCACAAAAAAATCTGCTGGAATAACCATAATTTCCCAGATTTTCTGTTCCCTTTGCAGCTGTATGAAAGCTTTGAATTGATAAATTATTAAAGTTAATCAATATTTTTTTGCAACTACTACGGACCGTTGATATTTTCAAAACTAGTTGTACCTGTGAATAAAAAACAAGTTCTTCATCGAAGCTATAATTGAAAAAAACAACTAGCAACGGCGAGTTGACGACATAACACTTGATTATCGGTTTGGATACGAAGATATCGAAAAGCACAAAATAGCAGGGTATTGGACCAGAACGAGAAAACCGAACGTAAAATAAAGAATATTATTATCCAACTGCACCAAGTAGAGTACAAACATCGCGGGAATTGAGAACAAATATCCTGCGATTTTGTACGGTTATTTGGACGGTCGGTTATTTTGTACTGTATAAAAACCTGTTTAAGCAGTCGGCTTCGCGTGTTATGTTATAAAATATTTGATCATGATCAAACGGATGCACGCGGGAAGTTTGAAGAGCACCCAGAAAGCTCAAGTTAAAACTCTTATTAAGCTTCTCCCGTGCTCTCCAAACTTCCCGCGTTCATCCGTTTGTCGATTGGCGAAGCACGGTTCTTGTCAGTTCGTTTACCATTAGAAATGTGGAAGGTTTCCCGTGAAAACATCGTTTAAGGTTATAAGCCTGTCTCAATACTTTTTCTGCGCTTCATTCGGCCAGTAATCGCTTTAATGCCAAACGAAATCATGAAGTAATCTTTGCCCAACTTCAGGTATGAATATGCATATGAATACGCTCATTTATTTATTACTATTGTCATGACAATGACAATCATTATCATAATTATTTGAAAAAATCTATATTTCAAGTGCTAAAATCTACTTACAATAGAATCTATAAATCTAAATTTTTACATATGTCGATAACAATAAAATGTTAAATAAAAATACATTACCTATATGTTTGTTAAGAAAAAACAAAATATATTTATAATCATCATTGTAATGATGTTGTTATAATAATAATAATAATAATAATAATAACAATAACATTTTTATCGTTATTAGTATTATTATCATTACCAATATTATCATCATTGTTTCTGTTATAATTATTTTTCTTAGTAATAATTTTTTTTTTCGAGTTGAGGCGCAATTTGGCCGAAATGAATATTATAATCAAGTGAGGAGACTTTTGTATTAATAGCATTATAAGCATTACTTTTAGCAATTCTGTGAGGAATTTAGATAAGCATAATGGAAAGCCTTCCATGACCCGGCTTCCTTCGGTCTCATTTACCTAGCAAAATCTTAAAAGAATACACAACTATTCGCAGCTTTTATACTTCTCATTCATAATCTGAAAGTAAAGTGTCTCACGTGACAACTTCGAATGTAAGTGGAGCTACATGAAAACTACAATACAGCAGTCGTATTAGAAGATGTCATGCTTCAAGTTAAATCAACACAAATGCAAATGGCCCAGAAATATCATCGACAATGGCTGTAAAGCAGACAAGAAAATTGGAGAAACCTGATCCATGAAATAATTTCGCTAGCCAGGAAGTCGGCAATGGCTTAATTATCTCGTGGGTAAGAACAGTTTTTACAAAATTTGAAACTAGTTTGCTACACGAATTATGGATTTTAAGCCAATCAATTGAAATTTATCGTAGCAGTTTGCATAAACGTTGATTATGACAGTCTCATTGAAATTCTTTCTCATTAAAGTAATTATTCCGACTTGTTTTAAGCCTTAATTTTACTTTCGTTTCGTTACCATCTGCGCGGTTTATTTGGAGTCATCGCCAGCAAAACCTTCTTATCACAGGTATGATGATATTTTCTATTGTAAATACTTCAAAGGCTATTGAATACATTCACTTGTGAATGTTGTCATAGAGGGTTAGGAAAATCTTCTACTTGAGCACACGTTCTTTGAAAATTTAGAGTTAATTGTACTTGATATTCGGCCTACAGTTACATTTTAGAACATACTCCTTTTCCATTCAGTATGCATTTGCGACTCCTATCTAATCTTTCCAAAAAACTGATCGACACAACTCCACAGTCTCTCGAGTGAGAAACCTCCTTCACTTATTCTCTGAAATTAATATTCCTATTTCGATAATTTAGATGATTGCGTGTTGCGAAGTATTTCGAACAATACGAGAAATGTTCACTCGTTTTATGCGAAATTTATTACTCCACCATTATTTCATTTTCTTGTATTTTTACCTTCAGTTTTCGAAACACCTTACATGCACAGCCTTGTTTGAGCATCAAATCAATCCCATAATACCTGTGCGAAAATAGAAAACAACCCAATCGAAACTCTATAAATGTTAGCTACGATCGTCAAAAATCTCCTTCGCTTTAAATATATTTACGTGAAAATTCAAACCGATAAAAAAGGGAAAAGATTTGGATCGTTCATCGCGGCCATTTTCAGGCTCCGTCTTTTGAGCGTGTATTTCTCTATTCTGCAAGGTAAAAACGAGGCACATGTTATGGTAAAATGGCGCAATAATGGAGTGTTCTAAAACAAGTATGTAGCCTAAGAGTTGAATAAGTCTTGGGGTTCGGCTTAAGCTCAAGACAGTCAGCCGAAAGCAAGTATCTTAAAGACATTTGGTATATAGTCTGAATGACACTCCCTGCATAGGTTAGCTTTACTTTCTACTTGGAAAATAAATTTTGCATAACATAGCAATTAAATGAAATTCATAGTATTTTGCCTTGTGGATGAAATCGAAGTAAAAAAAAAAATTTTCCGGTGAGCTTCAATTGAAAAAAATTGCAGAAAGGAAGTCTCAATAGATTCAGGCCTCAACTGGAATCAAGAGAAACAAGTTTCTTCCAAATATTAGGGCAGTACTACCAACTGAGCTACGAAGCCATACGTTGGCAGCGAAGCAAAATTTAACATGATAAATATTAAAAAAAAAAGAATAAAAATTCGCGTAACATAGTTGAAATCTTGCTTTGTTTTGACTCTCCAGCACCATCATATAGGGAAACAGGACCCCACTGCCATGAATTTCAACACTCGGAATATGTTCTGGAGATTATGTTTTGGATTCTTAGCAACTTTGTCATTACGGGAAATATTCTTATCATCTGGATTTTTCTTAACCTGAGACGCAGAAAGCGTTCCACATTTCTTCTGATCGGTTTGGGCGTGGCTGATTTACTGGTTGGAGGACTGGCCATTCCTCTTTTCATAGCGGCATTTGAATCAGCTTCATTAACAGCATGGCGTGTTTTCAACCTTGTTGACGTGTTTACAAGTACATCGTCCATTTATGCACTTGCTGTCATTTCCGTGGAGAGAATGTTCGCCATCGGTTGGCCTCTTCGTCATAGAACTGCAAACTTTCGTGTTTGTATGCCATTTCCATACCGTGGATCATAGCAGCAATATTCACTGTTTTCACTGATGCAAACTTCAACTTCATTACAAGTGACAGCGTAATCTACCTTCTAGTTTTGTTTCCTGCAACACCTCTATTAGTTATGTGTGTAGCGTATTATGTTATTTGGAGGAAACAAAAATCACCAATATGTAACCATAACAATATCATCACAGAGACCAAATTAGCAAACACATTATTTTTGATAACAGGAGCTTCCGTTTTCACCTGGCTTCCATTCCAGACTTTTAACATGTTGGTAAATTTGCATGTTTTTCCATCTTTTTCTTACCTGCAACTGACAGCATTCATGGTCAGGGTTTTACAATACAGCAATTCGTTTGTGAATGTAATTATTTATCCACTGAGAATCTCAGAGTTTAAAAACTACCTGGTTCACTTACTTCGCTCGGCTGTGCGGTCCTCTTTCAGTTTTTAAACTCTGGGGTATCTCCTTTATCTGGGTCTGGGTCTGGGTCAGTTGTGTCCTGAATAAGATTTACGAGTATGCAGTTTTTCTCACCGATCTATAAGCAAGAGACTGTAGTTTGATACATTTATTTAATAACTTTTAGTGATACAATTTTTGGGAAATCGTGCTTGTAATTCAAATCAGACTTGTGCTAAGCGACTGGACATATTAATACATTTTGGTTATTCTTTGAATTTTTCTTTATCATCTCTGATCTGTTTGAGTGTAAAAGTCAGATCCCTTGATAAATCTCAAACTAGTTCGATGCTAAGGTAAATAGAGGTGTGTACTCACCGAGAACGAACGCATATATCAGACACTCTCACATCAGCTGAGATAATAGCCTTGATAAGTATCCCTAAAGATGAAGTACGAGTGGCAATATCATCAGACAAAACTGAATATTCATAGGATTCTGACGTTATCAGACCGGGAAACACCGTACCGCCAAGCTCAAAAGGTCACTTGTAATGTCCAATGGTAAGTTAAGATAAAAAAAAGATGAAAAAAAAAGTACAATAATTCATGCCTTCTTTGCTCAAAGCAACCTCCACAATTTGTTAAACCTGAGAATTTTTATGAATGTAGCGCAAAAAAAGATTTAGTTGTATTCTGAATTGTTTCCTTTGAAAATATTATCTTTTCGAAGAGATTATTTGAATAAATTTAAGATACCTTTTCACCAAGGTTCACTATTTAAGTATTATTAACACCTTCTTCTCGTTTATCAAATAGTTTCCTCATAGGTATCCAAAGATAAACTTAAAGCCAACATGTTCCCCTTCGACACCTTAAAGGCGGATAGTGCAAATCACTTTCGAGTTTGCCTATAAGAAGGTGTGAAACTGATACATAAGAAGTAATAAAGAATCACCACTTAATTAATTGATAACTTTATTAGATAAATCAATCACTCAATTTTGGCTCATTTGGTATAAATGTGCAATGTACTCCTCGATTTGGGTAATAAGAAATATGAGAGATAGAGGGAGGGAGAGATAAAGATTCATTACCATCACCGTTGCCCGTTTCATTCTTTACTTTTTATATTATGTTAGTGCTTGATGTAAATTGTTAACGACTGTTGAAAATAGCCAAGTTGCCTCATATTGTACACAATTCTTTATAATAAATATTGCATCTAAACAATTTGGCTGCTTGCACCATCTCACTTACCTCAAATAGCTCATTGAACCACAATAGGACAAGCTTATCGAGAATATATTTTGCTTGAGCTATGACCGGGAAAGTCAATCAGTTTAAGTTTCTGCTATCTGTGAAAGCAGCTTGTAAAGCGGTAATTTAAATCAGGTGAAAAAAAGGCCGGTGTGAGTGCATTGTCTCAGGAAGATCGATGGCTCGTGTCGACTTCTTTGGTCAGTGTTAGTGGTTGAACGTCAATCTATACACTTGTAGTCATTTCCTGGAGAGAATGTTTGCCATCGTAGGGCCTCTACGTAGCAGCGTCCGTCATTTCGTCATTAAATGTGTGCTTTTGCCGTACCGTGGATCATAGCAGCAATATTCACTTCTCTAACGATTCTTGACTTCGAGGTAATTACAAACCTCTAACTTAAAAATGTATTTTCCTCTTGTTCCTGACCACACCATTGCTAACGATGTGGGTCGCGTATTTTAATATCTGGATAAAAAAAAAATCCCCAAAGGGAATCCGAAATCCCAGAGCTGCAAGAGAATCAAAATTAGCCAACATATTAATTCTGATTACGAGAGCTCCACTTTTAGCTTGATTCCATTTCAAATTTGGAATAATTTTGTTGTTTTGAAAGGTTTAAGGATTTCATTAAAAGCGACGTACCTCATAATTAAGCTTTCAAAGTTCAGCCACTAGCTTGTTCAGCAACGAGCTTGCTGATTTATCCGCTAAAAATTCCAGAATTTAAGACAGCACTTTCTAAGAACATATCAGGGCCATGAGGCTCCATTTACGAGACCAAAAACTGAGCTTTTCCCACCTGCTGTTCTTTTGACTAGAATCGCATGAAAGTGTTGCTAACTGGCACATTTTACACCAAGTATGGCAATTGGCTTTCATGTAATGTTGTGGATAACTTAAAAGAAGTGATATATTAAACTGTCATCTCTTGAATTATAAGCATTTGAAACGCCTTGAGAAAGTTGCAATATCCCTTCTCGCGTGAATTGATTTTAAGCTTTATCAATAAAGGGCAAAATTACTGAGCGCTGATTGGTTGAGAGAGAGGGCATTTTTTCTTAATCGAGGGCATTTTTAGTAATCAAGAGAGGGCATGATTACCTTGTTCAGTTAAAAGCACTTTGTTGTTTTTCTGTTGGCAGAAACGCTCTGTTGAAATGAGCTTTGTTTTCTAGACTTTTGGCAGTGTATCACGACACAGTTTTGGAGAATAAAATTTCATTGAATCGATTGGTCAGTTCAATTTGATTGATGATTTGCCGTAGCGCTAAACAGGCTTCCCAGATAAAAATAGACTGCGCGCGTGATTTTCCTTCGTATAAATTTTGCCCTTTATTGATAAACAAGTAATCCCATGAGACCTCGTACTATTAAGGATTAATTGCACTTGAGTTTTCAAAATTTTCCAAAATTGCCCTCGTCGCTTCGCGACTCGGGCAATTTGGAAAATTTTGAAAACTCTCGTGCAATTAATCCTTAATAGTACTTGGCCTCATGTGATTACATATACTAATGTATAGTTTCAAATGAAGCAGCTTTGACTGCCATAATCCTAGGTATACACAATACAATACAAACTTTATCAGCACACCCCAGGGGGGCTTTTTTGGTAAAAGTAATCAATCTAGATTTTTGGATTAGATGTTAAAATCCGCTTATGTACGCATTACAAATTCAGCTTTTACTCTATATCTTTGGTATCTCGTTATAAATACTTTCCCACATTTGCGACGTTGCATCCTCTTAGTCGGCAAATCAAGTAGACCCTCTGTTTATTTATTTTGGAAGTAGTTACCATTTTTTGGATACAAACACGTCCTATATATATTTGAATGTTTCCGTTGATCAGATTTTACAGCGTGAAGTTTGATTTCATGACTGGCTAATCCCAAAAAAACGTTGTTGCGTAAGCAGCTCCTTGCAACGTTGAAATTAAGTAATGGCAATACACCTGCCGTTTTATTGGTGCAGCACCAACATATAATCTCTAGAACTCATTTCTAAAGCAACGCTTCGAAAGTGGAAGGATTATATCGCTACGATCGTTTATTAGTTGAAAATACATACAGCATCAACACCAAGTGGGAATGGAACGAGATGAGTTCCGTCACGTGGGAAATTCCATTTCATTCGACGTGTGAAAATATTGCTAGGAAATGTTCATTCGGCCAATCTAAGGTCTTAGTCGTCTTCCTGCTTCGCCGATGTATAACTTATTGCAATAAGTGTAAGTTATGCAGCGAATAACATTGGCGGAGGTACACGTAAAGTGATCAATGATCTTAATGGATCTCTTGGGTCCCGATATTTTATCTACTTTATGAATGAAAGAACAAGTTTTGCATCGTGAGCGAGCGCATTTGAAAGTTCCAGATTGATCACTGGTTTGAAATGAACTCCTGACTAAAGAGTTGCCTATGTTTTTGTCACGTTTGAATGAAATAAATGGGGGTTGCGAAAAGATAGTGCCCTTCTCTGAATCGTTTTGGAGTAATTTGAAATTTTAAAGAATGATGGATTTAACTGCGTGGTTGTGAGGGTGAAATGTAAGAGTAAATGGAATGCGGTCAGTGTTATCCTTCTCAGCCGTTTGTAGTGCTGACTGTCGATCAATTTGTTGGGCACGGTGGTGGCCCGCTTGAACGACAGAGACAGGATAGCCACGTATGGAGTTCTTGACTTGTGATGGATGTGAAGATGAATACAACTGTATTTATGTATTCATCTTCACATCCATCACACGTCAAGAACTCCATACCTTTTTCACAGTTTCTCAGACTTCGTCGTTTATATGAAACTGTAGGTTTATAGTAAACACTAGTGCATAAAACGTTGCCTTCGATTGAAATTTTTATGTCTAGAAAAGCCAAAGAAGTGTCGGAAATTTCCCAGGTATATTTAAGAGCCGGATGAAAGGAAATGACGGCGGTTATAAATTGAGTGAGCTCCTCTTTGGTAAAGGAGGTAGCGCCGATCCAAACGTCAATGTAACGGCCGTAGAGTTCAGGTTTTGGGCCGTGGTGTTGACTAAAAAATTGATGTTCGATAAAACTTACAAAAGATTGGCGTAGCTGGGTCCATATGCGTTTTAGTACCCATGGCTACGCCATTAGTTTTTGTATGTAGTAGTTGCCACCGAATGAAAAGCGATTGAGTGTGAGCACTAGTTCGGCTAGACGGAGTAGTGTTTCAGAGCTGGCTTAACAGTGCGATGATCGAAGAAATGTTTGAGGGCCCGGAGACCTTCGTCATTGGGAATGACAGTATAAAGAGATATTATATCCATAGTAAAAATAAGTTTGTTTTGGCCGAGGAAACTAAAGTCACGAAAAATTTCAAGTGCGTGTTGGCTGTCCTTGATGTAAGACGGTAAAGTTTTGACGATAGGTGCCATAATTTTATCTAAATAGCTGGAAATAAGTTCGGTGGGACAACTGCAGGCAGAAACGATGGGTCGACCTGGGTTGTTAGGTTTATGGATTTTAGACAGCTACGCGAAGGAAACCTTTGTGAGTCCCGAGGGGATCGTCGGCTGTCAGAAAATTTAGAATCAATTCAGTCATGATTAAGAAAGAGAAAATTAGTCCTTTCACGCACAATGGAAAATGCTGATATTATGACGCGCCGCCTTACCCGGGACATTTTTATAACAAAGAACGATATTTGAGACGACATGTTGCCGCTTCTACTTATTTTGTCTAAGTGCGAGCTTGGGTCTTGAATAAATTTATCTCAAGAATTTTCTTCACCTAGGGACATTTTTATGACGAAGGACGGTATATAGGACGGTATGTTGCTGCTTCTATTGAGTGAGATTGTATCTTGAACTAATTTTATCTCATGAATAATAGGTTATGTAAATCAGAAATTTATTAGTGACTCTTAATGACACAATTGTAAAACCGCTCTTGTCTCCCAAAACCTAGACAAAATTCGTTTAGAAAGGAAGATTGATTACAAAGATCTTTAGGCTGTTCTCTACATTGTCACGCTTGAGAGGTGTGGTGTCCAAGCAAGCAAATTTAATATTCACAAAATTACGAGACAACCTACGACTGATATAACCTACACACACAAGTCTCGTATTCGGCGCACGCCTGTCTCGACATTAGCATTCGTAATTTGACAAGTGCATGACATTTTCACAAGTATGCCACTCCTTGACAGCTATGTTACAATCGGGATAAAGAAAACTTGTTTCACTTCACGTGTTCGTGAAAGACAAGCGGAAAAAAAAAAACATAAACTGAACGACAGTAGTGAGCAGAAATGAAATGCAACGCTCTTCGATGAATCGGAATTTCCTGCTCTGACTCGAAAAAAGGAAAGGAAGAATTTTTATCGGAGAATCTTTTTTGTGGTTATCCCCACCCACGCCAGGGGCTGTCCTGGGGAATTCCTATTGTTTTCATATCCACGCATGGAGTTGTGACGTAGTTCGTTAATGTTTCGTTCCTTTGTGTACCGGTACACGAGGACACAACCCACGCCAGCCTATCGCGTCGTATTTAAGTAAAAACAAACTTTTCGAAATATTCAAAAGTTATTCATGGTCATATGATAAAATGCTTATTGACTGAGTCGAGTCATACATAATCCCAATTTACATATATGAAGTTACCGCTTTTTCCGGTTAGAAATCTTTGTTAAACACCGCAGTTTATATGATAGTTTGCATTTATCAGTCGGACCAGCCCAATTTTCACAACTTCAGTGTTTTTCTAGCAAAATAATAGTTTTCTCAAGAGCTTTGGGAATAATGACGAATAATAAACAATTCATTCTTTTTAATACCTCGCCTTTCAACTTACCACCTGCTACAAGTTACAGGTGACAATAGGCCAGATATGTCATTAATAAAAACGCTGATGAAAATTCGCAATCAAGCTTATGCAAGGAAAGAGTAATTTTCTGGGGTTATCTTTCAATGAAAAAGACGAAGTATTTCGAAAACGGTAAACTTATATGTAATTCGGCAGAATAAGAAAATTATTTTTTTCTTGAAATCATAGTCAAACATACAGATGTTTCAGTCTTTATTGCATTTGTTAAGGCTTTCGTCAGGCAATTGTGTGTCTTGCAGACGTCACTATGAGGAAGTTAAAAATACATCAAACGCTCCTGGCCCTTCCGCTGTTACCTTAAAAATGGGCATAGGCATAGAAAGACCTTTCCTACTCTGAAATTTATAGAAAATGAACAGAAACTGTGGTATTTAAAAGGGAAAAAAGCATTTTGCTCTTAGAAGAACCTTAGTTTGGATGAGTTAATCTTGAACTTTGGAGAAAAAGTATTTATTAGCCACTTCAATACCGTTTTGGGGAAATTTTCCTGCGGAATTAAGGTTAGTTACGGTATCTCTAGTAATTCATTTTTCGCTTTTTAAACCTAATTTTTAACTCTCTGCACTGTGACAGGTGAAGACTGGTAGAATTAAAAGACAACAGTTCCAACCTTGCAAAGAAGTTTGACCGCCGTTAAGCTATTACAAATACCGTCCCATATTCTTCTGTGATCTGAGTTGTTTTCATCGAATCTCAGCGTAAGGTAAAGCTTTCGCTAAGTCTAATTAGAATTATCTGTGAATGCTTAAGCTGGCAAAAGCTTTCGCTTGGATCGCGGACAGTTCACATAATTGTCACATACTCCTCGCATAAGAAAATTCGAATTACGCAACTAACTCGCAGCCAGCTGTTCCTTGAAGCAAATAAAATAAGGGCTTTAGAGTTCTTTACTATTAATTTTGAGAAATTTGGTCGAACTCTCTAATTCTTATCGTGAGACAAAGTTTAAAACTAACGGCGCCGCAGATAAATTCAGCAGCACATTTGTGACTTTATCATCACCGAAGTAAGATGATTATTTTTCCTCAAATATTTTTGGTGTGGGAAACAGGAGTGAAGCAATCTTCTACTTTTCTCAAGTAGAGTAGTGAAACTCCACATTTACATTTATTTATCAATTGCTCTCACCATCTTTGCGGAGAGTCATTAAAAATAGAAGCAAATTAATCTAATTTAGTCGGACTGCGTTATTAACGAATATTTGCTTGGTCTCTTTCGCTGATGAGATTCCTTTGCTTTTTAACCCTTCAAAGAGACCTAAAATGGTGGTAGGGAATTCTTAGGTAGATACGTACTCTATTTTTCTTTACTGTATAATGGATAGGTGTACGTTTCCAAGAGTCGCAATTCGACCAGACCTGTGAAACAGAGAAGAGAGAATAATTGCTGGGACTAAAGCTTAAATAAATCTTGTTTAGAGGAGTAAATTCTGGCTTTCCCATGGAGTCGTTAATAACATAAGAGTGATTGAGGAGACTCCTAGTATAACTTTAGGGTTTCTTTAGGTCTCACAACTGATATTATACTGTATCACATAAACTGCGGTGTTATACAAGGATTTCCGGCCCTGAGAAAAGCCGTCACAACGCACGTGAAAAAATATCATACTTTTTTACGTGTGTTGATATAGCCAATCAGCTGTTGACACGTCACTCGCCTTTGGTGCCCCTCGGTCAGGTTGATGAATAAACGGCAAAGACTTCATGACTCTCAATACAAGTTGTTTGCCGAAGCTTTCGCGAATTATGGTGGCTAAAACACTAAAAAATCAGTATCGTTGACAGAAATGAGGTTCAAACTTTCCTAGAAGAGGAAGAAAACCAATATATTAAAAAAATAAACCGAAAGTTGCACATTCAGAGGCTTAAGTGTTAGCATTTCTCTCGGCTGAGAATGAAAATCGATAATTGGAAGATTTGCCACTGGCTGATTTTAGCCGTGTACCTGAAATACTTCTTCTGTCGGTAAGGACAAAGTCAATAAATGAAAATTTTCTCGTGTTCAATTCGGCATCTCACTCGTTCGCTGCGCTCGCTCATGGGCTATCGAGTTGAACACTCGAAGAGAAATTCCATATCTACGCGCGCCCATGTATTATTCTCTATTTAAAACTACTCTTTGGAAAGTTTATGGTAGTGAATCAATTTGAATTTTACCTTGATATTGAAAATACCTTTAAGAATCCTGCATGATACCTTTTACATTAGTCATCGATGCATCAACCTCGAGCCGACCATGAAGTCTAAAAAAATTAAAAGCAAAATGTGTCTCCAGCTTGTGACTCAAAGACACTGATAATTGTTATTTGTTTCGAGGGTTCCCTACGATGTCTTGTGAATCACCTTCACGAGAAACCTTAATTTGCTGCTGATAAAAAGCATGACGAGTCAGTAAATTATACTGATATTTGGAACAGCACTACTCAATTACATCGCTTTTACCAAGTCATACATCAAAAGTGATATGCATGCAACCAGACTGTACTCTGACTCTTTTCGTTTGAACATCCCATCGGTAAGTTTATTTGAATTAGTTCAATATACCTTTAAGCCGAGGTTCAGTCATTTTAGCATAATTTGCCACCTTCTTCTCTTTTATCAAAAAGTTTACTCATCAGTGCCATCGTGTTTCCTTTCGACACCTAAGAGCTGGATAATACAAATCACCCTTAAATTTCCCACTAAGAACGTGCGAAAAGTACTATTCAATCACATTGCTTTTACCAAGCCATACATACACAATGTTCACATTTCGATATATTTATCGTTGTAAATTGCTATTCCTATGCTATTGCCCATGCTATTCCTTAAAACATGTTCAATTTCTTAACGGTTCCTCCCGTAAATTAACACGGAGTCACACAACATGTGACGCTTTCATGAATTAATCGTTTGCTTTTTATCAAGACGTGAGCCTGGGAAGCCTTTGTTCTCACGAGTCTGCACTCGAATTATCGAAAGAAGCGTTGCATCTCTCTGCTGTTTTTCTTTCGATATATTAACGAGTAAAGTTAGAAATTAACCAAGTGCTAATGTTGATTGGTCGATGTGCTCTCGTGGGGAGTCCTAGTTCGCGGTAAATTCAGACTAAAAATAGACTTGTCTGTGAAAACACCGTGACAAAAATACAGAGCAGTTGTGGGCTCCAAGTGTTGGGCCCCTGCCAGAACTACGCTCCGATTGAGTGCTATTTGTAAGGTCATTCATAGATAATTCAAGGGTATTGCGTCAAGTGCAAACTTCTGCTCCGCAGTGTTCCTCTTCTCCTCGCTGTTTCAAGACGGGTCATCTATTGCGTCACGTATCGTCACGTGTCCTAACGTTTTCGTTCCCTTTGCAGCTGTATGAAAGCTTTGGTTACTTACTAAAGTCAACCAAACTTTTTTTGGCGACTACTACGAACCGTTGATATTTTCAAAACTAGTTGTACCTGCGAATAAAAACAAGTTCTTCATCGAAGCTAAAATTGAAAAAAAACAAAATAAAAAAACAATTAGCGACGCCGAGTTGAAGACATAACACTTGATTGTCAGTTTGGATACGAAGATATCGAAAAGCACGGAATAGCAACTAAATACCCAGGGTATTGGACCAGAACGAGTAAACTGAACGTATAATAAGAATATCATTATACAACTGCACAAAGTAGATTACAAATAACGGGCGAATTGAGTACTTATATCTTGCAATATTGTACGGTTATTTGGACACTTGGTTATTTTGCACCGTAAAACAACCTGTTTAACCAGTCGGCTTCGCGCGTTATGTTATAAAATAACTGGTTCATGCTTTAAGCTATGCAACTTCATAAGTTTGAAGAGCACTCAGAAAGCTAGAGTTAAAACTCTTACGCTTCTCTCATGCTCACCAATCTTCCCGCGTGCATCCATTTGACGATTAGCGAAGCATTGTTCTTGTCAGTTCGTTTACCATTAGAAACGTGGAAAGTTTCCCGTAAAAACATCGTTTAAGGTTATATAAGTTTCTTCTAAATATTAGGACAGTACTAAAACTGAGTTACGAAGCCACACGTTGGTAGCGAAGCAAAAATTTAATATGATGAATATTGATAAAAAGAATAAAAATTCATCTAACATAGTTGAAATCTTCCTTTGTTTTGACTCTCCAGCATCATCTATAGGGAAACAGGACCCCATTGCCATGGATTTCAAAACTTGGAACATGTTCTGGAGATTATGTTTTGGAGTCTTAGCAACTTTGATCATTACGGGAAATATTCTCATCATCTGGATTTTTTTTAAGCTGAGACGCCGAAAGCGTTCCACATTTCTTCTGATCGGTTTGGGCGTGGCTGATTTACTGGTTGGAGGACTGGCCATTCCTCTTCTCATAGCAACATATAAATCAGCTTCAATAACAGTATGGCGTGTTTTCGACCTTGTTGACATGTTTACAAGTACATCGTCCATTTATGCACTTGCTGTTATTTCCGTGGAGAGGATGTTCGCCATCGGTTGGCCTCTTCGTCATAGAACTGCAAACTTTCGTGTTTATATATGTGCTATTGCCCTACCGTGGATCATAGCAGCAATATTCGCTATAACATTTTTCGTTTTTGCAAACTTCATCTTCATGACAAGAGACAGCGTAATCTACCCCATAGTTTTGTTACCTGCAACACCTCTATTAATTATGTGTGTAGCGTATTATGTTATTTGGAGGAAACAAAAATCAACAATATGTAACCAAAACAATATCATCAGAGAGGTCAAATTAGCAAAAACATTATTTTTGATAACAGGAGCTTCTGTTTTCACCTGGCTCCCCTTCCAGATTCTTAACCTGTTGGCATATTTGCAAATAACCGCAAACTTTTCTCACATGCTACTAATGGTACTCATTATCAGGGTTTTGCAATATAGCAATTCGTTCGTGAACGTAATTATTTATCCATTAAGAATTCCAGAATTTAAAAACTACCTGCTACACTTACTTCGTTGTTGTGTAGTTCACCGTCAGGTATTTAGAGCTGGGGTTTTATCATCAGCCGGGTCCGGATCAGTTGTATCCTTAGTAAGATTTACAAGTACGCAGCACTTATCACCGAGCTCTAAACAGGAGAGTGCAGTTTGATTGCTTTATTAATTGTTTAAAGTCAATAAAAAATCGATATTTTTTACTGACTTTAAGTGATTCAACTGAGGGGAAATCGTGCTCTTCATCATCTGTTTGAGTGTAAACGTAAGATCCTTAAGTGAATCTTAAATTAACTCGATGCCAAGTGTTAGGAGTAATTGGCATCTCCAGTGTTAATGAGTAATATCATTTTTGTAAATAATATCAATACTGTTTAGTTAGGCTGACCTCATTGTCGGGGAACTTTCTGGAACGTTTTGTCGAAGCTAAGTGCGATGCAAATACATCACGAGATTGCTTACGTAACGCTTAGGTAGTCGCCGCTTACGTAGTTTGCTTTTGTCTCGAGATACCCTTAGGAGAAAAAAAAAGGGAGACGGTGTGAGTGCGCAAAGAAGCTGTATGCAAGGTGTGCAAGGAACTAGGAACTTTGGAGAAAGTGGTGTGTTTGTGTAGTGGAAAGCCGGTGTACAAGGAACTAGGAATTTTGGTGAAAGTGGTATGTTTGTGAAGTGGAAAGCAAGTGTGCAAGGAATTAGGAACTTTGGAGAAAGTAGTGAGTTTGTGAAGTGGTAAGCTAAGAATTGGTTTGTAGAGGGCTCAAGCAAGATATTTGGAACCCAGGTTATTTTATTGTAAATTACTTTATCGCAAGTCACTTCTAAGTAAGAATATTACCTGCAGTTTTATAAAGTAGTTTAGTTCGTCGGAGCAGCGTTTTTCTGTTAGTTAGGTTATATCGTAACACAAGATAAATGGAGATGCGTACTTAACGAGAATGAAAGCGTCGAGGGCGATATCAGACACTTTCACATCAACTGAGATAAATAGTCTTGATATGACCCATCAATATGAAGAACAAGCAGCAATATCGTCAGACATAAATATCTATCTAATTCGGACATCACGCTGGAAAAATTTGGGCTCAAAAAGTCACATATTATGTCTAATAATAATAATAATAATAATAATAAACTTTATTTACGTGTCAAATAAGATAGCAGTTTCTCACTAAGTAAGGACAGCTAAACTAAACTAATCTAGTCTATATAAAACTAAGCATTAAAAATTTATTGCAATATGATAAAAGAGCTCTTCCCATATAAAACTACCCTACCCCGAAATAGTAGACCCCATGTTTATAATACCCTACCCTGTATAATAAGATAATAATAATTACAATAATATGATCTTGATAATATTTAAAATATTTAAGATTTACATAAAATACAGTTCTTGCAATTATTCGAAGAGATTAAACTTTGTATATCTACTTTATGTAAAGCGTTTTTAAATTCTTGCAGCGTTCTTAGTGCTCTTATTTTTCCATCTAACTTAGACCAGATTACTGGAACTAAGTACCTAAGAGAGTGCTTACCATAGCGCGTAGTACTAACTCTAATGATAATGAAATCATTGTTTCTTAAATTATATTTGTTGTTATTAATAACAAACAGGTTCTTGATATTATTAGGGCACAGATCATTTTAACTTTAAACATTAACACTGCTATGTCATGTAATCGCCTATTACGTAAGGTTTTTAAATTAGCCTTCTAATGATGTATCTAGGGATGATCATGATAGAGCGAAGTAGGATATTTCACGCGTTCTTTCGTTAGAGCAACTGGCACAATTTATTAGACCTGACAACAAAAAGGTTTATGTTGTACTCTGACTCTTTTCGTTTGAACATCCAATCGGAAGTTTCAATTCATTTGAATTCAATTAATATACCTTTAAACCGAGGTTTGAATTTCCCACTAAGAACGTGCGAAAAGTACCATTCAATTACATTGCCTTTACCAAGTCATACATCAAAAGTGACATGCATGCAACCAAACTGTTAGGTAAACCACTTGATAAATATAAGCTCATTTGAAACATGTACAATCTACAGCCAGCTCGATTTGAATAATAAAAAAATCAGAGTAAGTGGGTGAAAGAGATTCAGTACTATAAAAGTTGCAGTGTACTCTTGTATATTATGTTAGCGCTTGATGTACATAGTTAATGACTGTTGAGCACATCTAAGTTACCTCACATCGTTCAAGATTCTTTGATCTAAGATAATAAATATTAGAAATAAGAGAGATGGTAAGTTTTGAGCTCGGTAAAGAAATAAAGATGGTTATTTGGTCTTGTCACGAGCGTGGGACAAAGAAAACATTCTGAGTTCCCATGAGGAATCGAACTTCAGACCAACGGATTCCGCGCTCCGATGCTCTACCACTGAGCCATAGAGACGCCACTGTAAGCGAGGTCAATTACGAAGTTCATATGACACGCGTCCTGAATACTGCTAGGATCAGCAATGTCGATGGCGTAATGTTTGTAGAAAAAAATTAGGGAGATGGTAAGTTTTGAGCTCGGTAAAGAAATAAAGAAAGATGTTTTTTTCCTCTTGTCACAAGCGTGGGACAAAGAAAGAATTCTGTGTCCCCGTGAGGAATCGAACTTCAGACCTTCGGATTCCGCACTCCGATGCTCTACCACTGAGCCATAGAGACTCCACGGTGAGCGAGGTGTATTACGAAGTCCATATGACACGCGTCCTGCATACTGCTAGAATCAGCAATGTCGATAGCGTAATGTTTGTAGATAGAGTCCTAGACTAGTCCTACGCTCTTGACAAGACGGAAAAAACATCTTTCTTTATTTCTTTACCGAGCTCAAAACTTACCATCTCTCTTATTTCTATCTAAAATTTGAATTATAAAGAAGTCAAGTTTCTAAAGAAACTGAGGTGCTGCGTCGGTGGGAGAGTGTTCCGATTTGTTTTCAGTTTTGATTTTACTTTCGTTTCGTTACCAGCTGCGCGGTTTATTTGGAATCATCGCCAAAAAAACCTTCTTATCGAAAGTATGATGATATTTTCTCTTTTAAATACTTCTAACTAAAGGCTATTGAACACATTTACTTCTGAATGTGGCCATAGAGGGTTAGGAAAATCTTCTTCTTGGGCGCACGTTTTTTGAAAAGCTGGAGTTAATTGTACTTGATATTCGTTATTTGTGCTTGATATTCGGCCTAAAGTCACATTTTAGAACATACTCAGTATGCATTTTGCGACTCCTATCTAATCGTTCCTCTGACCAAAAACCTAATCGACACAACTCCACAGTCTCTCGAGTGAGAAACCTCCCCCACTTATTCTCTGAAATTTATATTCCTATTTCGATGATTTAGATGATTGCGAGTTGCGAAATATTTCGAACAATGCGAGAAATACAACAACAACAACAACAACAGCATTTATTTAAACACGATAAAAAAATTCAGCAAAAGCTGATGTGGTCGTGTACGGACAATAAAACTAAATTCCTAACTAAATCCAATAAAACTAAATTCCTAACTAATTATAAGAAGACTAATGTAAGATTTCTACATAATTTTCAACAATAAAAATTCTACATAGTACATCATTATAACATACGTGGCTTAAAAATACACTTGAGTGACTTTTTAAAAGCGTCAACGTCTTGAATTGATCTCATTTGATTTTCCAGAGCGTTCCACCGAGTAATTGACTTGTATGAGCATGATTTCTTGACCATATCGGTCTTAGGTCTAGGTAACTTAAATGTCATTTTCCTCCTGAAGTCGTAGCTACTTACATACTTTTCAAAGTGACGGCTCATAGGACGTGGCAAAAGATTATAATAAGCCTGATGCGCTAAGATTAGTAATCGTTTCTCATACATAATCTCTAAGGTATTCCATTTTACTGTGGCAAGAACCTCCTTGCTTGGAGTACACCAGTCCAAGTTAAATATTATTTTCGCCGCTCTAACATGTATAGATTCTAAGCTTGAGAAAAAATACTCGACCACAAGAGCCCCAAACTAACATACCATATGTCACAGACGGCAGAATAACCTTAAAATAGAAATCAATTCTTGCCTGTATAGGAAGAAAATACAAGGATTTAAGTAAATTCAACTTCTGCGTATATGACTTAGCTAATTCCGATACATGATGATCCCATTTAAGAGCATTATCTATCTGAACACCTAGGCATCTTGCAGAAACAACCTCCCCGACAACATAATCACCTATCTTAATAGCTTGTTTTGGCCCAGTAAATTTTCCGCGTCCACCAAGCAATATATATTCCGTCTTGGTGGGATGTGGAGTGAGACAGTTCTCGCAACACCAGGTATATAGCCTTGCTAGTACTTCATTCAGCTTGGAGGCCACCAAATCGTAGGTCGGAGCTGAGACATAGACGGTGGTATCGTCTGCGTACATGTGAAGCTGTGGGTCACCATCTATTCCCTCAGTGATATTGGGCAGATCATTACAGAAGATGGAAAACAGGGTAGGGCCCAGCACCGACCCTTGAGGTAAACCAAAAGTAACTGGCATAGCTTGAGATTGACACCCATTAATCGTCGTTACTTGCGTTCTTCCAGAGAGGTAATCTCTTATCCAACACCACAAGTCCCCAGCTACACCAAGACTTTGAAGTTTTCGGAGCAGAATGGAGTGGGGAATTGCGTCAAACGCCTTACGGAAGTCTACAAAAACCACGCCTACAACATGTTTCTTGTCGATCGCTTGTCTCCAGTCATCCGTTATTTTCACTAACAACAGCTCGGTGGAATGACCTTTTTTATACGCCCACTGGTGAGGGTTCCCAAGTCCTTGTTCAGTGACATGCGTGGTAATAGTTGACGCCACCATAGACTCCATCAGTTTTCCTGGTACACTTAATAGCGAGATAGGCCTGTAATTTTGCTTAACGGTTTCATCGTCACTTTTATAGAGAGCTGAGATGTTTGCAGCCTTCCAAGTAGCCGGTACACTGTTGCAGGTGGCGCTTATTTGAAAAACAGACAATAAAGATGGAATAATTGAGTCACC